AGCTCGACAGAAACATATAGGGAATTCCAGGCAGGACTCGCAGCACCGTTTAATGAAGGCATGTTTATTATTAAAATAACATTGATGAATGTACAGTATACACTAAATAGGAAATCTAAAAGCAGTTAGTAATGTTAAAAAAATGCATTACATGCAGTAAACAAGAATAGAATATAAAAATGAAGTATTATATTTCATGGAATACAACCTGCTACATTCAATTCATGTGACATTTAAACTGCACGTCAATATAAAGTGCTTTGTGTCTTTTAGACAGATCAAACAAGGAGGGAGTTTTGTGTTTTGCAGTCTCGGTAAATGTTCAAAACGGCGGCCTCAATGGAGAAGAGGTGCTCGTCTTCTACCTCCGGGCAGCAGAGTCGCATGAAGTCGGCAAGCCGAAGCAGATATTCAGTGTTGTGGCCTGTCTTTCCCCTGCAAACGGCGATCTGGTTGGCGATCTCCTGGGCGGAAGCGGGGCCCAGGTAGGCGGGGTTGTCGGAGGTGGCGATGTAGACAAGGGCGTGGACGGTGTCCACGTCTTTCTCCCGAGGAATGAACTCCACCATCTCTGTGACGTATCCTCCTATCACTCCTTCTCTTATGTTGAGGTACTGAAAGGCCTCCTTTATCTGTGCATCGGCCACTTCATAAGCCACGCCCCATGTACAAGCCTATAAGGAAGAGAAATGGTCAGGAACTTATTAACTGGAGAATATTGCCAGTCCCCTTATGTAATTGTTGAGCTCAGTGATTAAAAACAAACACAGTAAACGGTCCCTGAGGCTTGCAAAGTCACAAGATTTTTGCTTCGAAGTCTTCGACCAGCTGTGGAATACAGGCGCTACAATTGTTTTTCTTACTTTAATTTTCAAATGTATGCGTTCCATACCTAATATGGGATGGTTGAACAGGAGTCAAAACATTTTTAAGTGAAATCTTAATTGTCATGCCCAAATATGAAAAAGTTGCAATAAATAGAAAATGCAAAAGGCTTTTTTTCTGTTATGCAAGAAAATATCTTTGCATAATTGAATGCATGCACGTCATACCCAAAGGGATGTGGCTTAATCAGACTATATTATCCAATTTATGATTTTCATAAATGTTGATATTTTTCATCATTTTCCCATAAAATTGATAACAATAAATTGATTGCATCATCTAATTGAAATCCTGCTGAATCCGACCGATTGTATATCTGATCTGCTTATCCTCACGAGGGTCGTGGGCATGCTGGAGCCTATGCCAGATGTCTTTTTTTGTGGCAACAGGTAGAGTACACCCTGAATTGGTTTCCAGCCAATCGTGGGGCACACACAGACAAACAACCATTGGCACTCACAATCACACCTAGGGACAACGTAGAGTGTTTAATCGCCCTACCATATATGCTTTTGGAATGCGTAAGGAAACTGGAGTACCCGGTTTCCGGAGACAACCCACGCAAGTACAGGAAGAATGCAATCGTCACAAAGGAAGGCCGAGGCCTGGAATCGAACCCTGTGCACTGTGAGTTGACCTACATATATATATATATATATATGTGTGTGTGTGTGTGTGTGTGTGTGTATATATATATATATATA